AGAAGGGGAGGAGGAGGAGGGCACAGGAGGGAAGAGAAGGAGGGGGCAGCAGAAAGAAGAGGAAAGGAAAGGGGGAGGGAAGGAGAGAAAGGGAGAGAGGAAGAGAGAACCAGAGACAAAGAAGGACAGACGGCCAGGAGGCAGAGAGCAAGATGGACATAGAGGGAGAAGATGCAAATAGAGACAGAGCGGGGGAGGGAAAAAGGGCAGAGGGTGACAGAGATACAGAGAAGGAGACAAAAGAAATGGAGAGAGAAAAGGATATATCCAGAAAAACAGTCACAGAGAGAGACACAGAAAAAGACTCTTGGACATGTACAGAGTCACAGACCTACAGGAACACCCACAGCAACCTGCAGGACCGCAGAGGCCAGTGTGCTACTGCTCAAAATCAAGTCCATTAGGGCCAGGCGGCTCGGACAGCGTCTTTTTGTGTGTGCCTTTGTCAGCTAAACTCAGAGCTCTCTTTGTGATAACGATAAGAGTTCTCAGTGTCAAGTTCTTTCCTCTTTCAATGTCGGCTCCCTGAAGAATCACTAATTCACCAACAATAACAGCACCACTCACAAGGCCATCGTGTCTTTCTGAGAATTCTGGGGGGCCAAGTGCAGGTTATTAGAAACCACGCTCCAGCTGGGGGGGGGGCCGCCCCAAAGCCCTGCTCAGCCCCTGCGCACACAGTGCCCCAGGGACAGTGCTTCTCAGTGTACAGGATCAAAGGCGGCAAATAATTAATGAGCCTTTTCTTCCAGAAGAGTTCCTGTGACAATAGCTCAACCTGTCAGTGATGTTATCCCTGCTTTTGATGAGCTCAGAACCAGCACCAGGAGACAAAGGGTGGAGGGGAGGGGAGAAAAAGTGGGTGGGGGTGGCGGGAAAAGGGATGGGAAGGGAGGATCACTCAATGCCAAGCTGAGAGAGGGGCACGTCTGGCAACTCTGGATCCCAGCATGAAGGAATGTGTCTGGGGAGTCAGGCCAGAGAGAGAAATGTGTGTCACGTGCACACGCACACACACATTTACTTTGCTTCAAGGCAAGAAAAGGATTTGTGCAGAAACTGCTCAGCCCCAGCAATCTGAATGCCTGAACTCTTAGGCTCACCAGCTGCAAACACTCAGCTATATATTCTGAGAGATTCACCGAACTGAACTTGGTCCCCATGGCTCTCCAAAAGACCATGCTTCCCAAAGAGTCTTCTGTCTTTTGGGAAGGGTTTCCTGCCTTCCTTTGGGACAGCACCACAGTCACAGTTAGGGACCAGGGTCTACTATGGGCTCCTGGGCTGGACTAGCCCATGGGCACGTTCTACCCTCCTGCTGTTCTGTCTGGTTGAGATGGGCCTGTGTTACAGTTGGCTCGGTGAGATCCAGACCAGGTCCTGGGGCTAGTACCACGAACTGGGAAGGGTCTCTTCCCACTGGTAGGACACAGGAACTGTGTTGTTGGTAGTCTCATCCCTTCACAGCCATATGGGTATGGCTGAGGATGAAGCCGACCCAGGGAAGAGCAGATCCAAGAGGCAGAGGAAGAATATACTCTGAGCGCCTGGATTCTCACACTGGATGCCCTCGTCCCCACGGACTTTTCGATGACACGGGCTGACACATGCGTTCTTGGTATAAGTCACTCTTATGCCAAGTTCTGGCACCTTGTGCCTGACTGGGGTCGTACCTGTGATGATCGACTGCAGAAACATGAAGGTCTTCAGAGCTTTCTACATTCCTGCTTTTTACCACAAGTCTCACCTCATGTAATTTACAAACTGGGTCTCTGACCTTGTCTCACACAGCCGGTGACACTGACATTCTACACGTGATAGAATGGGGAGCCCTTGTACCCCATTTCCAATAACTAGGTCTTTGTCCTCCGCGTCTCAAATCCTGTCCTTGATGTCCCTCAATGTCTTGGCTCTCGCCAGTCACCCCCTCCCTCTCCAGGCCGAAATCCTGTCCCCTGACTCAGTTTGCTGAGATTGTTTACTGTGTCCTGTTACTGTACTTCAAGCACCACACTCCCATGTCAGATGGGATTTCCTTCCCTTTCTCAATTGGCTGCCTGTAGTGGGGGCGGCCATATCTGAGAACACCATCTCCATTGACTGTCAAGGTTCCCTGAGTCAGAAGGCTCAGGACTCCTGCTCAGGCAAAGCAGGCTCACTCCCGGGTGTGGGAACCATGGGCTGAAAGACCCTGAGAGATGGGCCGGAAGTGGTTCATTTTCCTGTGAGAGCCTGACATGTCAGCCTGGGAGTCCCATTACCTAGAGACTCAGCGACGCCCTATGCAATCTTGGACCTCATTCTAAATGTATTTTTCAATTATATAAACTATCTGTGGAATCTTCCACTATATTCTCCCTTTGCGTAAGTCAGCCGGCCCACCTCTCCACCTGTCTGTCCCACCATAGTGGGACCTCTCCTCCCAGACATTTGCATCTGTCCCTTACCGTCACAGTAACACTTTCATGCCTGACATCCCAAGTTACGCAGCCATGGCAGAGTTCCATGTTTAGCACTATTAACCCATTTCAATTCATTTCCTCTCTCTCCCAACTCCTATCGCTGAAGTCCAAAATGACAGTTAAGCTCCAATGAAGACAGTGTCAATTTGTCCAATTGCCATACAGTTAGTTAAGCTACGGCTTTCTTCCTCTAACTACTTACAGAAAGTTTTCTTTTTGATGTTTAAGTTGCATGGTTCCTTTGCTAGAGACCAAGAAGGAAAGGAAGGTAAAAAGAAATGGAAAAACAAAGATTGGCCATTCCAGATTCACATTATTATAGGATTTGGTATTATTTCTCACCTTTATCTAGTTCATCTAGTATTTCAGAGTTTTGTTGTAAAAATAAATCCCCTTTTGGTGTAAAGGCAGCCTGTTCAATAAATAGTGCTGGGAAAATTAGACAGATACATGCAAAAAAAATTAAATTAGACCACCTTTTTACACCATGCACAAGAATAAACTCAAAATCGATGAAAGACTTAAATGTATGACTTGAAACCATAAAAATCCTAGAGGGAAATATAGGCAGTAAAGTCTTGAATATTTCTCATAGCAGCATTTTTTCTGATACATCTTCTTGGGCAAGGGAAACAACAACAAAAATAAACAAATGGGACTACATCACTCTACAAAGTTTTTGCACAGCAAAGGGAATTGTTAACAAAATGAAAAGACAGCCCACTGAATGAGAGAACATATTCACTAATGATATAGTACATCTGATAAGGGGTTCATAGCCAAAATTTATAAAGAACTTAAACAACTAAAAAAAAAAAAAAAACAACACCCACAATCCAATTAAAAAATGGGCAAAGGACCTGTATAGACACTTTTCCAAAGAGGACATACAGGTGGCCAATAGACATAAGAAAAGATGCTCAACCGCACAAGTCATCAGAGAGATGCAAATTAAAACCACAATGAGATATTACCCCCCCCCCCCGTCAGAATGGTCATCATCGATAAATCAACAAACAACAAGTGCTGGTGAGAATGCAGAGAAAGGAGAGCCCTCATGAACTGTCAGTGGGAATGCAGACTGGAGCAGCCACTGTGTAAAACAGTATGGATTGTCCTCAAAAAATTAAAAATGTTTTTAATTGGCTAAATGGTGACAGAAAGAGACAACCTTGGATGGGGAACACACAATACAATAGACAGATGATGTATTATAGAATTATTCACTTGAAGCCTATATAATATTATTAACCAGTGTCACCATAATAAATTTTTTTAAGCATTCCCTTTTGGGATTGAAAAATAATTTCCACTACTTATCTGCCAGCTTGCTCCATGGTTGAGGGGCTGAAGTGAAGATGGTGGCGCATTTTCAGGTGTTTCAAATCGGGAAAATAAGACACATGTTTATTAAAAGTGTGTCTAATACTTGATTATCTGTACCTCAGATGAGAAGATTAGATTTTGGAAGAGAAAGATTAATAACTTTCTTTCGCAGAGATAAGTGTGCATTTGGACCTGCATGCTGATTGTTTATTGTGAAACAATGTACCAATGAGGGCATCTCCTCTTCACTAGCATTAGATGCACTGTGGATAACGATCATTTAATTAAGTCTCATTATGAAATAGCTTCTTTCTAAGCATGGGACAGAGCTTAAAGGAAGGCAGAAATTGTTGAAGACTTTACTTTTAAATACTTACCTAAGGATATGTTTATTGATTTTAGAGGAAGGAAGAGAGGGAGAGACAGAGGGAGAGGGACAGAGGGAGGTGGAGAGAATTTGGTTGCCTCCCATATATGCCCCAACCAGGGATTGAACCCGAAATCTAGGTACATGCCCCGACTGGGAATCAAACCCACAACATTTTGGTGTACAGGACGATGCTCCAACCAAGCCTTTTTTTTGGGGGGGGGGGCTGCCATTCTTCAGTAGAAAACCCAACCCTGATGGTCCATTCCTAAGTACTAGGCATTGTCTTACCTTCCGACAGTTCAGGGTCCATAGAACTTAGCAGAGCACAGACTTTGTGGACCTGTTTTGTTTTCATCCAGATTCCTCTGCTACTAAGCTGGGCAGGCTTGAGCAACTCGCTGAACCTCTCTGAATTCAGAAGACCTTTATCTGTATATGGAGCTAGCCAATGACTTTCTCATAAAGTTGTGGTAACAATAAAATAGGTCAAGTGTCTGAAATTCACGGGGCCATCTATGGTGGCTCCTTTATCTCTCCCTTTGGGGACTGTGCTCGGTGCTGGCAGACATCCCTCGTCATTTGGGAACACAGCCCTGAAGCCACTCTCCTCCCTGGCTGATCTGCTGCCGCGGAATCATGGGTTGGGGCAATGTTCCCATTTAGCAAGCCCTGTCCCTTGGTGTCTTTGGCCATCAACGCTTATGACACGTATCTCCCACTTACCCAGATAATTAAGGAATTCAATTTAATGGTAGTTTGCGCCTGACAACCAGCCCTGTGGCCGGAAAAGAAAAGCGATTCGTGCCTGCCTCCCGTCTGGGGCTCCGGAGTCACTCACTCACCTGATGGTTTGATGCTGCAGGGAATCGGGGTCCGTGGCGTTCACCGTCAACAGCATGCTGCCCACGGAGATGTTCTCCTGCCGGGTCACCATCATGGGGTTGGGGTAGAAAACCGGACCCTCGTTGACATCCAGGACAGTAATGTGCACAGTCGCCGTGGAGCTGGGGCCATAGGAGACGTCGGGTACGAGCGGGTCCTCGTTTTCCACTTTGATCAGCAGGGTGTGAAAGGCGGAAATCTCATAGTCCAGAGGCTGGAACGCAGAGAGAGGGGCTCAGCACACGAGTGCCACCAAGGCAGATGCTTTTGCATCAGGTCCCCCTGACATTCCCCGAGCACAGGTGGATGTTTAGGGATGGATCCAGGTTTTGTGGGCTAAGTTTTATGCAATTTGGGGGAACTCTTTAAGAAAAAGCATATGAAACATACAGCTACAGAGATCTGGAGCCTCCCTTCTAAGATCTCTTTCAGCCACTCACTGGCTACCAGACATTAAAAAGCTCCCACCGGTAACCTGTAACTCCACAACTCCAGCACTCAAGGGGGCTCAGGCGGATGAGGGACCCGGAAGCCTCAGCTTCATCAGCTTCACGGTGTCCCTGCCGCTGTCACTGTGGGAGATCCAATGGGAGAGGCAAACCAAGGTCCTACTTCTAATGATTCCCACTCTCTGGCCACAAGGCGTGAGCACTGGGGGCTCCATAGCACTTAAGGTACAGGACCTACGGGCTCAGGGGTACTGTTGGGGGTCCTGTGGGAAAAGAATCTGAGAGGTTGAGATACGTGGGGTGAAACCTCTGGGCTCTTTTCCACCTGAGGGCTTTAAAAATATGTGGGGGCATTTTTAATTGTTGCAGTAACTTGGAGCTCTCTGGACATACACCGGGCAGGGGAAGTGACACCAGACACCTAGCCGCGTCTGGAACAGTCCAACACAATGCTGGAATGCCCCGCCCTCAGGGCCAAAGGGCAGCCCTGATGAGACAATAAACTGCCGGTCACACTGGGTGGGGTTTCTACACGTGATTCTGACCGTGACCCAGTCCTCCGCTCAGCCTTGGGCTGCTATTCCCGCTGAAGCAATGGACTTAGGTGAAAGCGCCATCTTCACTCCCAAATACGAGAAGGGCCAAGGTCAAGTCCTAGCCCTGGCATTAATAACTATAGAACTTATAAAACCATAGGCAATCACTGCACCTCCTGGACTCTCAGTCTTCCCATCAATAAAGTCCCAGTACAAAGGACGGTTGTAAAGATTAGCGGAGATGATACATGTTGAAAGTTTCATGCAGAGATTGGTCTAGAGTCAGACACAATAACAAGCTGTTAAGATTGTGAGAAAGAAGAATGTGGAATCGAAATAGCCAGAGAGCCACTGCCCTCCTGCCTGGTTTTTCCTGTTTGTTCCCGGGCCCGCATTCCCTAAACAGAGTGCTGGCTGTGGAGGGCCTGAGACTTGAACAATTCTACCGCGGGAGGGGAGCAGAGAGAGGGAGCCACACAGCGGAGACTGGCTTTTCTGGGGAGCAGAACCTCTCCACTGTTCACTTCTGTTTGCACACTGCAGTGGGCAATAGTTCTGGCTGTACGATGCCCCGGGCCCATCCACCTAGAGCTGGTAAATCACTGGTCTCTGTTCCAGTCCCTTCTAAGGCCTGCCCTGCGTCTTGTGGGATTAAGAGCCCTCTGTTGTCTTGAGCCTCTGAGCCTATTAATATGACTAGTCTTGTCACACAGGGTCTCCGTGTGATGGATGGGAGGAAATTGAAAACACAATAAAGTTACAGAGATCCAAGTCAATTAATATTTCATCAAGTGTCAAGAAAGGGTGTGGACCACCGTCCTGGAGGATTTAAAGGCTAGAACAGTTGGGCCACATGGGAAGGGTGAGGGAGCTGGGGTTTGTCGTCGGGAGGAGGGAGGGGTTAGAGGTAATCCAAGAGTGATTTTTAAATCTGATGGCATTGGGGAGAAAAGATGCCTGTTTTCCTGAAGCTTGCTCCTCCTCTGTGGATAAAAGAGGAAACAGACTTAAGAGGGTGGCCGGGCTACATTCAGCTGAAAGAGTAACTCTGACATTTTGAAATAGTGTTACAAAGCAACTAAGGGAGTTTCTGACCAGAATGTTTTAAAGAGGAAACAGGTGTCCATTTCCCAGAACCTGTAGGGTTTGGTCCTGCGGGGAGGCAGGACTCCCCCACAAACCACACCATCCCGAGGCTCCCTCTAGTTCTTCAGTGCGCTGGCTGCTGACTGGTCAGGGCAGGACTATGTGCCCTGGCTGCCCCATGGCCATGCCCTCCCTGCTTCTCCGTTACCCACCTTTTACTGCAAAGGCTTTCCTTGCAGCTGAGGGTGGACATGTGTCACCTGGCCAATGACATATCGTGGAAAACTGCCTGGGGGACCTGTGAAAAAGATATTTTCTTCTCTAATGAGAGGATAGGTACACACAAGAGCTAGCACTCTCTCTCTCTCTCTCTCCCTCTGTCCATCTGTCTGTCTCACTTGCCTGGTTGCCTCTTTGTTTCCTGTCTTGCACCACAGCACTGGGAAGGTGTGATGCCTGGGGCTTTGGCAGCTATTTTATTCCATGAGGACAAAGCCAGAAGCATCTGCTTGCCCCCTGCTGTCTCTGTGACACCTTCCATTGCCAGTGAATCGTAGGCTGCCCTACCTTCATTTAGTTATGGAGATCATTAAGTTATCTTTATTATTTAAGCCACTGTCAGCCTGGTAGGCTGTTGCCTGCAGACGAAAGCATTCCTAACGGATGCACTAGGTTGCTGGTAAAGCGGAGAGCATGGGGAGCCTGCCTCTGCGAGGCTGTCCCGGGGCTCTGACCCAGGCGTGCTCAGAAGCAGAGAGCCCAGGGCTTTTTTAGGGATTCACGTGGCAGGCAGATGCAGGGAGAGGAGTCTCATCCTAATTCTGAAGCACGGGAGGTCCACTCAGTAGAAAACCGAAGCCCAGGAGAGCACCAGGCTCCGTGGGCATGTCCTCTCCAGGAGTGCGAGGTGGGACTTCTCATCCCGTGGCAGTGCCCTGTGAATGGCAGCCTCACCTGGCCACCCTCTCCTTCACGCTCTGATTCAGCAGGTGTGGCGTGGCGTGGTCTGCATATTAACTAGTATTCTAGGTGATTCTTCTATATGCTAACATTTCAGCACAGAGTGTTGTGCAAACACAAGCACGTGCTGGGAGAACTGAGCTCCTCCAGGGTTCAGGAGGGGGTGTGTATTCTCCCAAGCTTTGTCTTCCGGTGCAGGCCTGGAAACTGCCTGACAGCATTTATAGACCCAGGGCTCGCTGCAGCGGACCGTCGGTGGCTGTGTTATTTTATGACTTTCCCAGCTTTGAAGCTGCAGCGGGGGATGCAGGAGGGCAGTGTTGGGATCTCCTAACAACTCGGCCACTGCCTGTGCCATTTGGGAAGAAGAATTGGGAAGACCCAGAGGCTACTCTTTCCAGGCAAATGTTTGAGGTTCATTGTGGATGAGGTTCTGGAAAGGGCAGGCTTGGGAGGAACCCAGAGCCCTCGTACCCTGGAGCGAGCCGGAAGCTCTCCAAGATCTCCGTTCTCAGTGGCTTCTGCTCCCAGGGGCGTTGTGGGGCTTCCTGGGTGTAGTTGTTTATAGGGCCCCAATGCTAGTCTGAATAATGCCTACCATTCTAATCCCACAAACCTGTGGATATGTGACCTTACATGGCCAAAGTGTTGCTGCAGATGTGATTAAGGTAAGGACCTTGTGATGGGGAAATGACCCTGGGTTATCCAGGTGGGCCCAATATCGTCACAAAGGTCCTTAAAAGAGGGGGACAAGAAAGCCAAAGGAAGAACCAGATGTGATGATAGAAGCAGAGTGTCAGAGTCAGAGAGAGAGAGAGAGAGAAAGATGCTGTGCTGCTGGCTCTGAAGATGCAGGAACAAGCTACGAGCCAACCAATGCAGGCGGCTGCAGAAGCTGGAAAAAGCAAGGAAATTGATCCTCCTGTAGAGCCTCCAGAAGGAAGCAGTCCTGCAACTTGAGCCCTGTGAAACTGACTCTGGAGTTCGGGCCCCCAAAAGTGTGAGAATACACTTATGTCTTCTCTGAGTCACCAAGTTTGTGGTCACTGGTTACAGCAGCCTCATGGCACATACGCAGGCTTTAATGCCGCCACCGTTCTAAAGGTTTTTACATATTAGCTCATGAATTCCTCACAATGGCCCCAAGGGGTGGGTGGTATTATCACCCTCATTTTATAGATGAGGAAACTGAGGCACAGAACACATAGTTAGGTATCTTGGCCAAAGGCACACAGGGGTAGGTAGCAATATTTCTGCTTTGCCCGCGGCTGCGATGACTATAAATATGATTACTCTCTGCTTTTGAGGCAAATGGCTCCACCCACTAGAAAAAAAGCTGTTCCAATGAATGTCCTGGCCTAGCAGAAGCTCTCTCCAGAGCTTCCCGGAGAGAGTGGAAGTGGGTGAAAATCCTTCTCCTAGGACACCGAGACTACCAGTCTGTTCTGCCACCGCCCCCCTCCCACCCAGCGTTCCCGGAGCACTCGCCGGAGCCTAGGGCCTGACATTCATTATCACATCTTCTCCTCATTCCACCTGCAACCAGGGGGTCAGCACGAAGGGCAGCAGTGCTCACAGGAGGTTTCACACTGAGAATTAGCCCATGGGTGTAATTATCCCCTGCTTTTAAGAGAATAACTGAGATTCTGCTAAGAAAGATGAAGAAGAAATGTAATAACATCCATCTTGAGCAAAGATCGTTAAAAAACCTTCACATATTCCATTTTTTGCATATCTTTGATAATTCATTATCAAACACATGGAGAATCTCATTTAGAAATTAAGTTGGAGCTTTTTAAGGTTATGCATAAGTTTGAGTTTTCCAGAACCCGTGAACAGGTTGTCTTTATGACTGTGAGGATACAAGTACACCTGTAAGCCATGAACCTTTTTCTTTCGAATTCAGGGAGGTAGAGACTAGGCTGCCTAGTCTCTCATTCCCCAGGCAGGGCGGCCATGAACCCCGCCGTGGGCCCTCAGAGCTCACGTGTGGAGGGAGGAGCCACTGGGAGTCCCCTCACCTTGACAACGGAGAGCATCCCCTCGTTGGTTTGCGGGTTGGTGTGGATTTCGAAGCTCTGGCCAGGGTTTCCATTGATGATGGTGTAGGCAGCCCTCCACGCACCTGTGGTGGGGTCATCCTTGTCTTCAACTGTCAGGTTGACAATAACTCCCACAGCTCCTTCCTCAACTGTGGCTTGAAACTGCAAACAAAGCAGACGGGTACCATCACTCTTTGACCCCCCAAAAATAAATCAATAAATCAGAAGGGCCATTTACAGAACTCTTAACTGTATGCCTGGTATTGGGTACATTACCCTATCATCTCATTTAATGGTAAATAATGACAGAGGAAGATTGCAAGGGAGGACAGTGTGCCTCTTTGCTGCACCCTTCTCCTGTCAGCCGGAAGTAGACAGCCACAGGGACCCAGAGGAGGGCTGGGCCACAAGGGGGTAGAGGTGTGGGTCTCCAAGTCACAACAGGGAGGGAGCAGCCTGGTGGCCAGGAACACCTGCCTGAACTGTCAGTGAATCAGCAGCAAACTTCTATTGAGTTTGAATTACTGCTACGCAGTTTTGCTTGCCTGTGTTCCTACAGCCTTGCCTACCCTAAACAAAAAGGTGACCAGGTAAGCAGAATGCCAAGACTCATCAGTGAAGGGACTGGAACGGAATTCCCCCTGTTCAACTCCAGAACCCCTACTCGATGGTACAGTATTCTCCAATGAAGAAAGCCAGGTTCTTCCTTCCCACTCCTAGCACTCAACTGGTGTGACTTTAAAAAGCTATCTTCTAAGGAAACATATAAATCAAGTGTTTGAGGTCTTGTTGTACCTGTGTTTTTATTGTAATACATCTCAAATACTTGTTGCAAGTAGGTGAGGTAAAAATAAATCAATAAATGAAAAATTGGCTTTCCCATAGATAGAGAACTTCACAAGCTATTATTAGCACATTCTTTTAGATGGAAGCATAAAGTATTGTTTTGGTGCTTACCTCTGACACAGTACAGGTGAATAGTAATCCATTTGCAAATATTTTACAAACAGGTCATACCAATAAGCTGACAAGAAGAAGCAAGATCTTGGAATTTCAATTAGTAAGAAAGCAAATCTAGAGACAGTAAGGCGATGTCGAAAAGCCCTTGTGTTCAAAAAGAAGTAATTTGAGAAATGAGGTTTCGAAAACAGTGGCTGATTAATTGACTTGCAAATCATTAATCATAAGCCTTAATCTTGATGATTTGGGGGTGGAGAGGGGACGGGAACTAATTTGTCTATCGCACCTCAGCGAACCTGGGTGAGTTGTTTCCTTTCCATAAAAGGGGAACCGGGGAATTCTTAGAACACGCCTGCCAGGTGGAAAGTTGCTGGAGGGAGGAGGGACAGGGAGGATCCTGTCACAGGGATACAGCTCCAGGAGACAATTATTTTGGCCCAATTCCTCTGATTCTTGTTTAAGTAAGTCCTATCTTTTATCTCAAGAAAGTCATAGAATTCCCAAGCTGGAAACCTAGACTGGTGGTTCTCAGCCTTGCCTGCATATTAGAATCTCCTCAGGGGCTTAAACACACACACACACACACACACACACACACACACACACAAGCTTTAAGAAAACTAAAACAAAACCTGGGTTCTATGGTCCTATTCCAACTCAGTTGGTCTTGGGTAAGGCCTGGGATTTAGTATTTTCTAAACCTGTGGGCATAACTGATATGAAGCTCAGGGTGATATGAAGCTCGGGGTGAGAAGCATGATTGACAAGGTGCTGTCAGTGGAAGAGCCTTGTGTGTTGGTGAGGCTACCTGAGCTCTGTGTTGAGGGGCCTGCAGGAAGGAGGGCTGTATTATCTCCTGCTGTCTGCCATGTGTCCAGGAGGGTGACATGGTGGCACATGTGCTACCTATTCCTTTCAGATTACAGATGAAGATGTAGGACAGAGAGGGAAGGAAGAGGTTTATCCAAAGCTGTTTGGTGAACTGAAGGTCATATCCAAGTTTCCTGGATTCCAGTAACCTCTGCTTTCAGTAAATTCTGTTACTCATGCCCACGCAGGAGCCACATTCCTTATGCTAGTCCTTCACCCCCTGCTGTGGTCCAGACCCAGAGGACTAGTTCTCTGTCCGTACTGATCACAGCAGACCTCAGCTCGTAACCAGTTTTTGTGGCTCTTCTGATGCTTGTACCTTAGAACACCAGGTGGACAATTACTTGGGCATGGGGAGTGATAAGACTAGAGGTTGCCAGGAGCCACGAGTCGGGTAGAAGTGCTGTTACATCTTATATCTAGGTGAGAAGTTGCTTTGTCAAAGCAGGTGAGTGCCACATTGCTGAGATGAAGACGCTATGAAAACAGATCATGAGCCCTGTCTGGTGTGGCTCAGCTGGTTGAGTGTCATTTTGCAAAGCCAAAGGTTGCAGGTTCCATTCCCAGTCAGGGCACATGGCTGGATTGCACGTTTGGTCCCTGGTTGGGGCATGTACAAGAGGCAACCAATTGATGTTTCTCTCTCACATTTGATGTTTCTCTCCCTTGCTTTCTTCTTCCTTCTCCTCTCTAAAAATAAACAAAATCTTAAAAAAAAAAAGGACAGATCATGATTTGAGAAGCTGGAGATTCTATGTGCACCTGTTTTGTACACAGCTTTATCTGCAGCCTTACGCATGATGAAGGTACGCAGAAGGGACTCAGTAGATATGTGCTGAATAAATGAATGGTCTTAAATATAAGAAGTGGAACCTGGCATCACAAGCGAGGGCTGAGAGGAAATATAGAAAGATAAAGCTCTACAGGAGTGAGACTAAGAGGATCTGGCTCCGTGATGCCTGATGCTGCCTCTTCCCTGAATGTTCCAGAGAGGTAGGGAATGGGCTGATCTCTCTTGTTCTCCAGGATATCTCCACGGGGCTGCATGATGACTTGTGCGGACCTTAGGCACTCTTGCCTTGGTTGGCCCCTCCTACTATAATATTTTTTCATTGGCCTTAAAAATTTCATTTTTTCCCTGATGTGAGGAAACAATTAAAATTTTATTTGGCCCTACAAGTTTTTGGAATGTTGATTTTAGAGCCCTAGGCATTGTGTCTATGGTGCCTGATGGATGACTCAGTCCTGACTCCCGGTACATGGCATAGTGCTAGACACATGAAAGTCTGATAGCTGGACGGATGAATGGATGGATGAATGGATGACTGAATCAATGAATGAATCTGTAAAGTTAACGTTTAGGCCATGTCTAAGTAAGACAAGTCTATGCAGCTTCACCCAAGACTCCTCTTTTCATGCCTGCAGCACCCACCAAAGGGACTAACACTGAATATTTTTTAGTGTGTGAGCAAATAAATGCAAGTGGAATGAGAAAGCGGTATTTTTCCAGGAATGATCAAAGTTTGTATTGTGGCCCTAACATGTCCTCAGATGGAGCAATGTTGAAATGTAGACACATTTACTTACCGTCTACTTATCCCATCATCCACCCATCCATTACTCATTCATTCATCCATCCATCCTCATCATTCCTCATCTGTCTGTCCATCCATCCACCTTCCAGCCAGCCAGACAACACATATTTGATGAGATGGCTTCTTTGTGCCAGGCATGGTATAGTATTATGTTCTAGGGATACACTAGTAAAAAAACCAGACATGGTATATATATAATTATAAAAATGTGTTGAGTCCTGGGAAAGAAATAACCTGTAGTTCCTGGACAGCGTGTATCTTAGGGAGGTGCTGAGAGGGGGTGGGTACTTGACCCAGAATGCAGAAGGTCATTAGGAAAGAATTCCCTGGGAACTGACAGAGGAGGAGGAGGCAGGGAGTGAAAATGAGACTGAACCCTTGGCATGTGGAACGGCAGGTGCAAAGACCGGTGGCAGAGGGGGCCTGGTGCATTTGTGCAACACAGGGCAGGTGGTTGTGGCTGCAGTGCAGGGGAGGGCTGAGGAGTACTCTTTGCTATTGGACTCGAAGGAGGGTAGAGGCAGGTTATGCAAGGCCTTCTGGGCCATGGAAAGATATTTGGAGTTTACTCTGAAAGAAAGTGGAGTCTAATCAAGGAACTGGATTATGTTTAAATCTACTGAGAGAATTCAGGGGAAAAAACCCCTTTAAATATAGAAAACATTCAACACAATTATTATAGTCTTTGTTAAGACCATTATCTGATTCTTGCATAAACTATAAAGCCAGTTTCCTTGAGCATCCATTTAGAAACTCATTATTGCTTAATTAAATACTCATTGTATTAATTCTATTCAATGTTTTAACCCCATTATGTAATTCAAGAATGGAAAATTAAATAGATTAAAATGAAATAGTACGATTTTATATTTCTATAGCAATGCTCACTTTGTGATTTAAAAACAATAGACAGCCATTAATTTACCACACCAGAGAAGGAAGAAATATTTACTGTAACATTACTTCCTCTAATTAGAAAAAATAGATAAAGTTACTTTTCTGTTAAACTGTGTGGCAAATCAAACAACAGATGCAAAGTGTCTTTTTTACGTAACCAGTGCGGGCAATTGGCTTGGCATGCGCTGAGACTCACTAGCGCTCTCCTCCAAATTCAGAATGGAGTTATTTCATTCTTCTCGGACAAGAGGGGGGTGAGTTTTGTAATGGACGTTCATGAAGAGCCTGCCTGGCCTTACCACAAAGGCCACCCATCACCACGGGAAAGAGGGACTTGCATTTTATTATACACCAAGAATGAATGCTCTTTCTCATAGACAAGAGAGTTGGTCTTTAGGTTAAGGTTAACCTGAAAGATAAAAATAATGCCTAGCAGGCTAGAAAGCTGCATGTGGGGAGGAAGTGACAGAGAATGACGTTATGGGACTGGACACATGGGAGCTTGAATGCCTGAAGAATGGAGCCCAAGTTCATGAGCTGCAGACCTTCAGGTTTCAAGGAGAACTGATGCTGAACTTGAAAATCTGGGATGTAGTCACCTGGACCCCGGCTTTGGAATATTAAATGCTAGATGAGTTCCCAGAAAGTTTTATAAACAAATTTCTATTTGTGAGGATAAAAAGGTGAGGGAGAGGTCATCAGAAATTTAACTTGCAAACACTATTATGAGCCTATATTTATGTAAATGATACAGTTTTGGGGGAAAATCTAATCTGTGGCTGATAGCCTAATGGATGGGAACTGTAACAGAAATAATATTTTCAAGGACCTTGGCATATT